CACCAGACGGTAGAACTGGCTTCGGAGGAAGAGACAGCGCAGATCCAAGCTTGTTCTCAGGTGGCGGAAGAGCTGATCACCAGGTAGGGAAGAGGTTAAAGCAAAAAATTGGTAGAGATTCTCAGTTATTCAGGTCATGGCTGTCCCAAAGGTCTTTTTCAGGAGTTGTTTTTTCTTTTGAAGACGTTTCGCTTCTCATCCCAGAAGCTTCTTCAGCTCTGACAGGTTGGCATCCTCTTAGAGGGTCGTTGAGGCCACCTGGAGGTTTCTTTGTGTCCTCAAGGTCTCCTGAGTACTGCAAATGGTTCCCGTAGTCTGCAATTTTTTTCCTCTGGAAATTCATTCCTACTCCTACCCAGTGATGGGATTCAGCCAGTTCACACTGGTTCAGGAGAACTGATTGTTAACTTTCTGACCAGTTTGCTGAACTGGTCGCTGGAAGAAATCATTAAGGGCAGAAAAACTGGTTGTTAAATGATTTGAATCTCACCCCTGCTCCCACCTCATTCAAAGGGGGCTCATCTCAAATTGCATAGCTAAAAAGTCTGTACAGATTCTCTGTGATCCAGGTCTTAAGTTGTCCTAAAGGTGCTTTTGATAGGAGGCAACCAAATTTTCTTGTTTTTTTCTTTTGAAGATGTTTCGCTTCTCATCCCAAAAGATTCTTCAGCTCTGACTGGATGAAGGGGAAGGGAAAGATATATACTCCTTGCAGACAGGGTTGCCAGATCGCAGTTTGGCTCCGCGGCCAAACTCAAGTCAAAATACAGCCAAATTCAGCCAAATTATTTTTTGCTCATGGTGACGCGCATGCGTGAGGGAAGAAGAGCGGCTGGGTTGCCATCTGGCCGATTTCACGGCCAAGCAACTTTCATACGGCCAAATTTATTCGGCCGGAGACATCATTTTTTCATGGACAAGCAGATAGAAATACGGCCAGATTTCTCGAATTTGCCCAGAAAAACGGCCAGACGGCAACCCTGCTTGCAGACAGAGCTGGTCATTTGCCTCCTTTTAGAGGGTCGTTGAGGCCACTTGGAGGTTCCTCTGTGTCCTCAGGGTCACCTGAGTAGTGCAAATGGTTCCTGTAGTCTGTAATTTTTTTCCTCTGGAAATCCGTTCTTACTCCCACCCCATTCAAAGGGGGTTAATCCTAATTTGTATAGCTCAAAAGTCGGTAGAAATTCTCCATCCTCCAGGTCATGGTTGTCCCAAAGGTGCTTTTTTCAACAGGCAATTGGACTTCCTTGTTTTTTTTTCTTTCTTTTGTAGACATTTCGCTTCTTATCCAAGAAGCTTCCTCAGCTCTGACAGAATAGTGGACAGGATAATCCTTCCATTCCCCACTATCCTGTCAGAGTTGAAGAAGCTTCTTGGATGAGAAGCAAAACATCTTGAAAAGGAAAAAACGACAACAAGAAAATCCAGTTGCTTCCTGAAAAAAAAGCAACTTTGAGACTAAAGGCAGTTCACCATTTCAGGTTTATCCCCTGTTTCCTTTTTATGGGGCTTCTTAATCCTTCAGGTCACAGTTGTCCCCAAGGTGTTTTTTTTTCCAAAAGTCAAATGGATTTTCTTGGTTATTTTCCTCTTTTTTTTGGAAAATACAGGTAGTTCTTGATGTCATCTCATAAAACATTTTGTATACACGTTTTATGGTTGACAACCGAAAGCAGGGGGTAGTTTCAAAGAGCAGGCGGCAGTGTGGAATCGAAAATACATTCCATTCATATTTTCTTCAAATGCTGATTAGATGACTGAAGCTTCTGCCGTGCAAAAATCTAATTGGAGAGCATGATTGATGACTCTTGGCTATGAACGTGTTTCATTGGATGATACACCCGGAGGGGTGGGGGGAAAAGCAGGATCAAGGGTGACAGTGAATTACGTATTTCAGAATTGGCCACGCCCAGGTAAATGCCGGATGTAGAATGTTACCTTCAAATAAATCCTCTTTAGTTTTGGGAGTGTGGCTCAAGGTTCATGATTTAATTGGAGTAACTGCCGGAATCCTGACACTCGACTTACGAAAGTTCATTTAGTGACTGTTTGAAGTTACAGCGGCACTGGAAAAAGTGACTGATGACTGTTTTTCACACTTGCAGCATCCCATAGTCACGCGATCAGAATTCAGATGCTTGGCAACTGGCATGTACTTATGACAGTTGCAGTGTCTCAGGGTCATCTGATCTCCTTTTGCAACCTTCCAACAAGCAAAATCAAACCGTGTTGCTAAATAACTGTGGTGATTCGTTTAACGACTGTGGCAAGAAACATCGTAAAATTGAGGCAAAACTCCCTGATCAAATGTCTCGATTAGCAACAGAAATTTGGGGCTCAATTGTGGTTGTGTATTGAGGACTGCCTGCATTTATTATTAAGTGTTGTACCTGATGATTCTTGACTCTTGATGAATGTATCTTTTATATACACTGAGAGCATTTGTACCAAAGACAAATTCCTTGTGTGTCCAATCACACTTGGCCAATAAAGCTATTCTATTCTATTCTATTCTATTCTATTCTATTCTATTCTATTCTATTCTATTCTATTCCTATTCCTATTCCTATTCCTATTCCTATTCCTATTCCTATTCTTATTCTTATCCCTATTCCCATTCCAATTCCAATTCCAATTCCAATTCTATTCCTATTTTTCATTCCAATTTACATTCTATTCTATTATTCTACTCTACTCTACCCTACCCTACCCTATCCCTTCCCATCCCATCCCATCCCATCCTTTATTCTCTTCTCTTCTCTTCTCTTCTCTTCTCTTCTCTTCTCTTCTCTTCTCTTCTCTTCTCTTCTCTTCTCTTCTCTTCTCTTC